TTTTTTTTTTTTTTTTTTTTAATTCCGTGACCCCTCCCATTGGGTCACGGATAAAGGTGGCCTAATTGTCTAACCGGTCCATGTTCAAAATTTGGATAGTTTTTCTCGAAAATGACGGAGTCGAAGCAAGAAAATAAATAAGTTTGAGGTCAGTATTTTTAGTATTTTAGATTCTCAACTATCTTGCATTATGTATAAACAAGATCATTTTAAAGGAGTTCAAATACTGGTAATCTTCTATACCATACATTTCGGACGATTGATATTAATTATGTGATGGACAAAATTAATAACTACACATCGGACTGTTTCTACAAACGATACTTGTCAAAAGGTGTCTACCGCCAATAGGTGCCTTTATGTCAAAGGGACCAGATGCCAAAAGGTCCATGAGCTCAAAATTTACAACAACTGAACCTTACACCATCTAAGGAGAAAGCGAAAGAGCCCACAAAATATTGACCGAAGAAAACAAAAATAAAAGTGCCCAAAAGCCTTCAATGTATTGTTTTCTACAAGTTCTGCAAATGACTCAAACACATACAAGCAATGATTGGAGGTATGTAATATTATCATTCTGCTGCATCAATATATGAATAAATCGGATAAATATTCTTAAATGTATTCCATACACTTCCCAAAGATGAATATTATCTCGTATAATTACCCAAGGTTATTAGTAATCACTCATAAGACTTTCAGTTCTATTGTAGTGCCTATTCAAATACTATCTTCTTCTGTGGACGTACTAGTATTTGAAACTCTAAAAAAATAATTATTAGGATGAGAATCAGATAATCTAGCTCGAAAGAAGTCGAGCTTGTCGTATGAGTAGACCGTCTAATAGGGCATAATAAGAGATAAGAAGGAATATTATTATGATAAGAACCGCACGTGGATTGGGCCACGTGACCTAATAGATTCGGGTAGTTCGAGCACTGTGGCAGCCTATTCAGATAAACTTGGACAACAAGATACCACCCTTATACAAAGGGGTGATGCATGACAATGAAAAACTTTACACACTCTACATACTTACCTACTTAGAAGCTTTATATATCTACTGTTCATCGTTTTCATCACTGTGGATTTAATTATCGTCAGAGTCCTAAGGCCGGGAACACCTCCCAGTCCATTTTGCTGGTTTTTGAATTGGATGTGACCGAATTCAAGGGCGTTCCATCTGGTCAAGGTCGTTAACACATTGGTACAATCAAAATTAGATAAGTGCATATAAGATCCACAAGTTCGAAAACACAATGGGCATTGCAAAAAAGGTTCAAAGTGAACATGAGAAAAAGGATAGATGACCTACCAAATTATAAGGTTTCCATAGAGCCCATATTGGTGAAAATCCATGATATCTACCTACAATTTACTCTCTCTCTCTCACACACACACACATATTCATTTGATCATGCAATTATTCCAATTTCTATCTTTACTCAAACTCTTGCGCAGTTGCGCTTTAGCTTTTCAATCATATCTTATTTGAAAAGGCTATCACCCAATTTTTCTCAAGAGAAAAGTCTATACTACACATTTAATGGAACACGAGAAAATGACCACCACTTCCACTTGTCCCCACTCTAAAACCATACTTAGAGATAATTGTCACAAGCACCCTTGAGATTTGGATTGGCTACAAAAAGTCTCAAAAGAGTGTGAAAATAACAATAATACCTCCTAAAGTTTGATTTTATGTTCCACACATATATGTAGAAACATGGTTGATGGCTTCATGCATTATGCACCTCACAAAGCGGCTTCAAATACTTACAAAGTGCTGGAAGAGGTTCCAAATGTGAATAAGTACTATAATGCTCAAGTCAGTTTATGTAGACATGGCAAAAACCCAGCCCGGCGGCCCGATGGACTGGGTTTCATGGACCTAAGGCCCACCCAAATAAGAAATAACAGGAAAAAATTAAAAACAATGCGTTTTTCTCGTGCTGGACCGGGCCAGGGTCGACAAAAACAAGACTCTGGACCGACCCGGTTGAAATCCGAGCTGGGCCAAGACCCGTGGTCAACGAGTTTGACCGGGCCAGGTGACCCGTTGCCACGTCTAAATTTTATGCACTACAAAAGAAGCTCGCCATGAAAGTTGAAACTACAGACGAGAGAACCCACATTTGTAAACAAATATCAAAATAGAGGACTTATTATATTGGAATGTAAAATTTCTCTACAAAACAACAATACTCAATTCATGGTCTCTTTTATCCTCCCAACAAAATATGTTATTCCAAAATAATACTAATCTAAACTCAAAAATTCAAGGCAAAAAAATGCACATTATCTCCCTCATGATCAAGAACACAAAATACGAAGAATTATTCTAACCTTTTTGTGCACAACAAGCTACATACAATTAAAAAAAAAAAAAAAATCAACGAATCTGATTCTAAACATAGTAAATCAATCAATCAATAAATAAACTATTAGCCCAAGACAAATCAACCCAACAAACCAAAATCAGACCAAATCAAAACCATTCTCCGACGAGGAGCTCGTCGACAGCTCGATCATCATCATCATCATCGTCGTCCCGTTCAAATCCGACACGCTGTCCTGCAACGTCATCAAAAGGTCCGACGTGCTGTAGCTCGGTCCGGGCCGGACCCTCGGCACATCCGGCACCTCCGCCTCCCCCGCCAGCATCTGCACCACCCCCCTCATCCCGGGGCGGGCCTCCGGATCCGGATTTGCACAACCCAGCCCAATCTTCAGCACCCGGCCCACATCCTCCACGTCCACCCCGACCAACCGCCCGTCCGCCGCCTCCTCCAGTCGCCCTTCCCGGTGCAAACTCCACACCCACTCCACAAGATTGCTATTCGGGGTCGCGCGCTCGATTGCCCGCCGCCCAGTTACCACTTCCAGCACAACCGCCCCGTAACTGAACACGTCCGTTTTCTCCGAGGCCCGGCCCGTTAACACATACTCTGGCGCCAGGTAACCCATCGTCCCGGCCGCCACCGTGGCGGCCTCCGGCGACCCCGTGTCGTGCTCCACCTGTCGGGCCAGCCCGAAATCCCCCAGCCTCGCGTTGAAACCCTCGTCCAGCATCACGTTGCTCGTCTTCACGTCACGGTGGATCACTCGGGCCTCGCATTCCCCGTGAAGGTACGCGAGTGCCGAGGCCACGCCGTGAAGGATCTTGCGCCGGTGGGCCCACGGAAGCACGGTTTTTGATTCGAAAAGGGCTTTGTCTAAACTCCCGTTTCGCATGAGGTCGTAGACGAGGAGAGACTCGCCTTTCTCGTGGCACCAGCCTTGGAGTCGGACGAGGTTCCGGTGCCGGAGGCTCCCGATTATCGAGAGCTCAGATAGAAACTCTGTTTTCCCCTGTCCTTTGTGGCTGCACCGTTTGACGGCGACTAAATCGCGGGTCGTGGGAAGGATGCCTTTGTACACGGTTCCGAACGAGCCGCGACCGATGACACGGGTCGGGTCGAAACCCTTGGTGGCAATGTGGAGCTCGTTGTACCTGAATTCTTTCGGCATTTTGATTACGTACGAGCCGAGGGTTTCAGTGGTGGTTTTGCGGGCCGCCTGTGGTTTTTTGTGGTGGGCCCAGACGAGGGCTAGGGCGCACAAGGCGAAGAGGAATGCGCTGGCTGTGAGGACGCCGATTATTGGGCCCGGCCCGTTTTTACAGAGCGGGCTGTGGCATTTTCTTGCGCTGGTTCGGCCCGGGATGGCGGGTGAGGTGGCGTTCGGAGGATTGGATGGCGGCTGAGGTGGCGGGATGATGCTGTCGGCGGAGGGGTTTATTAATGGAGAGGAAGGCGGTGGGGCCCGCGGAGATGGGCTCTCGTTGAAGGATGAACTAAAGCTCCACCACTCGATGGCGTGGGTCTCGGTGCTGCCTTGGGTCGATCCGGAGAATCCGACGAAGGCGAAGTCGTCGGGAATGTGGTCGGAGAGGTTGAGGGCGGCGGTGAGGACGGGCCTTTTGGGTTTTAGGTTGGAATAGGAGACGTACACCTCTATGGATCGGTCCGGTCCGGAGTAGTCGACCCACGAGTTGACCAGGTCGCCGCTCTTGAGATCGACGCCGGCGGCGTCCAGATCTGAGGCGCGGGCGGAGACCATGGAGCCGAGATCCAGGCCGACGTGGTTGCCGTTAATGTCCTTGAACTCAACGTCCATCAGGGTGTCGAACTCCACCGCCACGACGGCGGAGCTGCGGCGGGGACCAGCGCCGGTGACGCCGAGGAACCCGCCGGAGTCGCCGAGGTAGTCGTCGTCCGCCGTGACGACAAAGGCCAGGCCGCCGCCGATGGAGGAAGGGTTGAGGTTGGAGATGGAGAATGAGAAGAAGGTGGAGAAGCTTGCGAGGTCCCGGGCCCCAGGCCCACGGAGGGCCACCGGCCGGGAGTACAGGATCCTGCCGGCGCCGGAGTACGGGACGCTGACGTCGCGCGTGAGGAGCACGCTCCCGTTGCTGAGGCGGGCGTCGCCGAGGAGCTTCATGCTGGACATGGTCAGCGTCCCGAAGTCGAACTCAGTCGCCACGGCGGCATTGCCGGAGAAGAGGACGAGCAGGACGAAGGCGATACAGAACCAGCCGGGAATTGACGTCATCGGCTGTATTCAAGAACAACCCATGTATCAATTTCTTTCCTTCTTACTATCTTTGCTTCCTTTTTCCCTTTTCGCCGGAAAGTGTAGAGAGAGAGAGAGAGAGGACAATGTGAGTAAGGAAAGAGACAAAGTTGGATGGGAGGAGAGAGAAAATGATGGTGGGAACTGTGATTCACTGATTCTGTGAATGAAGGAAGGTGATGAGAGAGAAAAGAATCCTAGGGGCAAGCAAGCAAGTAAGAGGGATAAGGGAGGACAGGTGGACGCCACGTGTTTATTTTCAACGGTAATATTTTTTGTGGGTCGGTTTGTCATAAAATTATTATAGTTTCACCGTTTACAGTTTATATTTATGGTTCGAGACTTTTAAGATGTGGGGAATGTGTGCGTGTGTTCCTTGGATTCGAGTTTAGATTCTGTGTTCCATTAGATCGAGTGTTTCATTTTATAGCGTTTGATGTAGCATAATGTTGGGAAAAATACGCTGAAATTTTCATGAAGTCGGATCTATAAAAGTGAAATAAAAAAAAATTGAACACACCAAATTGATAACGGAGTTCGGCCAATAATGCCTACGTCTCCGGACTACTGCAGATATTTTATTTGGAAAAAGAAATACACTCGTGTTTACAAAACACTCTCAGACTCACTCACAACTCACAACTCAAATGCACACAGAAGCTAAATTATTAGCTTACTCTCTCTTTTTCTTTCTTCTTGTATTTTGTTGTTGTCTGAGTTGTATTTTTGCCATCAAAATCTCCCTCTATTTATAGAAGGGAAAGTGCACGAATTTTTCCACAAACGTGTACTGATCAACATCACACCAACCCCATCTGCTGCCATTTTCAATAATGGGGGGCTGCCACTTTTGTCAAAATTTGTGGATGAGTTAGTTGGCTCTTTTTCCAAAATTTGTGGCTAACAATCTCCCACTTGAGGACCGATTTCAATCTGTCCTCACACCTCAATTACTGCAGTAGTCTTCTCCGGGCTGTTAATCTAGCAGACCAACTGAAGTTGAACACAACTTCAGTTTGTCAATGGTCACCACCTTCGTTAGCATATCTGTTGGGTTCTTGCTTCCTACAATCTTCTTCAAAGTCAACACTTCATCCTCAAGAAGAGATCTGATGAAATGATATCTAATGTCAATGTGCTTAGTTCTGGAGTGAAACACTGAGTTCTTTGCCAGATGTATTGCACTCTGACTGTCACTGTGCAAGAAACTCTCCTTCTGAGTGAAACCCAACTCTGCTAACAATCCTTGAAGCCATATCAATTCTTTACTGGCTTCTGTCACTGCTACATACTCAGCCTCTGTAGTGGATAGAGCAACAATATTTTGTATCCGCGACATCCAACTAATAGCTGTAGCTCCGACAGTAAAAACATAACCAGTGGTGCTTCTTCGGTGATCAACTTCACCTCCGAAGTCTGCATCTACGTAGCCCTGTAACTTTAGATCTCCTTTTCTAAAGTACAAACATTTTTCTGTTGTGCCTCGTAGATATCTCAAAATCCATTTGACTGCTTCCCAGTGAGCTTTTCCTGGTTTTGACATAAACCTGCTCACAACTCCCACTGCATGGCCAATGTCTGGCCTCGTACAGACCATCGCGTACATCAAACTTCCAATGGCTGAAGCATAAGGAATCTTAGCCATGAACTCTTCTTCTTCTTTTGTTTGAGGAGACTGATCCTTGGATAGACGAAAGTGGCTGGCCAAAGGTGTGCTGACTGGCTTTGCCTTGTCCATGTTAAATCTCTGCAAAACACGGTTGATGTACTCTGCCTGAGATAACTGCAAAACTCCCTTTTGCTTATCTCTCGTGATTTGCATTCCAAGAATCTTCTTCGCTGGGCCTAAGTCCTTCATGTCAAATTCTTTTGACAACTGCATCTTTAAATTTCTGATGTATTTCATATTTGATCCCGCTACTAACATGTCATCGACATAAAGTAGCAATATGATATAGTTGGACTCATATTTCTTGAAGAAACAACAGTGATCAGCATTGCACTTCTGGAAACCTTCTTTGTGCATGAAGCTCTCAAACTTCCTATACCACTGTCTTGGAGCTTGTTTCAGGCCGTACAAGCTCTTCTTCAATCTGCACACCATATCCTCCTTTCCGTCTGAAAAACCTTCAGGCTGATGCATATAAATCTCCCCATCTAGATCTCCGTGAAGAAATACAGTCTTCACGTCTAATTGCTCTAGGTAGAGCTCTTCACTAGCCACAATACTTAACACAATCCTGATAGTATTGAGCTTTACAACTGGAGCAAAGATTTCAGTATAGTCAACTCCTTCTTTCTGCTGAAATCCTTTGACAACCAGTCGGGCTTTGTATCTCCTGGAACCATCATGGTCTTCCTTTACTCGATACACCCATTTGTTGTGAAGTGTTTTCTTTCCCATGGGTAACTTGACTAGTTCCCATGTCTGATTTGAGATCAAGGACTTCATCTCGTCCTTCATGGCAAGCTCCCACTTGCTAGCATCCGGGGTTTGACAAGCCTCCCAATAATCTTCAGGTTCTCCTTCATCGGTCAACAACATGTAGTCCATGTATCTCCTGTTAGGTACATGGGGCCGAGAGGACCTTCTCAATACAGGAGTTGGAGTAGAAGGTTCTGATTGCTCACCGCTTTCTTCATTTGATTCCTCTGACTGAGGATTCCTTATTACAGGAATGTCTGGGATATCTTCCACCTCTGCATAAACTGGCCCACTCGCTTCTGAGTTGCTGGCACTTGTGTTATGTCGGTCTTTGTACATCACTCTTTCATTAAAGATGACATCTCTGCTGCGGATCATCTTTTTGGTTTCATCATCCCATAAGCGGTAGCCAAACTCATCTTCACCATAACCAAGGAAAGTACATTTCTTTGATTTTGGATCAAGTTTGTTTCTACCTTGATCACTGATGTGCACATATGCTACACACCCAAAAACTCTAAGATGTGAGGGTTTTACTTCTTTTCCGCTCCATACTTCCTCTGGTAACTTGTGATCCAGTGGTACCGATGGACTTCGGTTGATCAAGTAAGTTGCTGTGTTGACTGCTTCTGCCCAGAACTGCTTTGGTAGGCCTGACTGCACACGCAAGCTTATGGCTCTTTCAGTCAACGTTCGATTCATACGCTCAGCTACATCATTGTGTTGAGGCGTACCAGGCACGGTTCTCTCCATTCTGATCCCGTGCTCATAGCAAAACTTCTTGAATCTGGTGGTTACATATTCACCACCATTGTCGGATCTGAGCTTCTTGATCTTCAAGCCTGTCTCATTCTCCACCATAGCTTTCCAAATCTTGAAAGCTTCAAATACTTCTGACTTGTGTTTCAGAAAGTAAAACCATACCTTTCTGGAGTGATCATCGATAAAAGTCACGAAGTATTGCTTCCCACCAACGGATGGGACAGTCGTTGGACCCCAAACATCGGAGTGGACGAGCTCAAGCTTCTCCTTCTTTGGGGTTCTTCTACTTGTCTGAAAGTTGACTCTCTTCTGTTTTCCAAGTATACAGCCTTCACACATGTCAATTTCTATTGACTGGAGGCCTGGTAATTTTCCTTTTGAGTGAATGATCTTCATCCCTTTTTCACTCATATGCCCAAGTCTTTGGTGCCATAGATTGGGACTTTCATTTGTTGCAACTGCAATCAGATGACATGCTCCTTTGGTATTGTAAAGAGTACCACTCTTTTTGCCTCGAGCAATTGTCATCGCACCCTTTGAAATCTTCCAATCATCACCATGGAAGATTGTCGTGTAGCCTTCACTGGCTAGCTGGCCACGGAGATTAAATTCTTCGTCAGGTCGGGAATATGTCTGACATTTTTCAATTCCCAAACAGACCCGTTAAACTTGATTTTTACTGCACCTTTTCCGACAACCTCACACGATTGCTCATTACCAAGGTAAACTTTACCAAGATTTCCAGGAACATAATTCTCGAATAGTTCATTCTGTGAGGTAGCATGAAAGGATGCTCCAGAGTCTAACACCCAACACTCTTCTCTGTTCTCCAAAGAACATATCAGCGTGTCTCCTCCTGAGACTGAAGCAAAATTTGCCTCTTCTTTTGTCTCCTGGCCCTTCAGTGCACTCTTGCACTGATTTCTGTAGTGCCCGGTCTTCCCACAATTTTGGGAACTACGATAATTTCTGGACCTGGATCTTCTTCCCTTTGATTTGATATGTCTGATTTCTTTGGTTAAACTTCTTCCTCTCGACTCTGTATGCAATACAAAAGAGGTTGATGGTTCACCCGACTCTCTCCGTCGGATCTCTTCACTAAGAACCAAATTTTGGACGTCATCAAATCTCAACTTATTGCTTCCCGATGAGCTACTCACAGCTGTGACTGTAGCATTCCAGCTTTCTGGTAGGGAAGACAAAAGTATTAAAGCCCGTACTTCATCATCGAACTCGATCTCAACTGAACTCAACTGGGTTGTAACTGTGTTGAGTTCATTGAGATGATTTGCCACTGGAGCACCTTCGCTCATCCGCAGGTTGAACAATCGCCTCATCAAATGGACTTTATTTGAGGCTGATGGTTTCTCGTACATGTTGGAAAGAGCCTTCATGAGGCCTGCTGTCGTCTTTTCTTTTGCAATGTTAAAAGCAACGTTACGGGATAACGTCAGTCGAATGGCTCCAAGGGCTTGTCTGTCAAAGAGACTCCATTCTTCCTCCTTCATGTCCTCTGGCTTCTTTCCCGTGAGTGGTTGATACATATTCTTCTGGTACAGATAATCCTCGATCTGCATCTTCCAGAAGCTAAAGTCAGCGCCATCGAATTTTTCAATTTTCATTTTTCCTTCGTCTGCAGCCATCACTCCGACTCTGATCTGACTTCTCTGCCGGATCGTTTATATAAATTTTGTGAACTACCGTGTTTCAGAACACGTTGGTAGATAAATTTGTAGCGCCGACAAATTTGACACTATTCACGTTTTTCACTATATACGGAATAGTAACACAC